TTGTTTACTATGAGAGTTACTCTTTTGCTGACTATGAGGGCTAATCCAAAAAGTTTCCTTAAAATTCCACATTCAAAAAACTAAGATCATGGCATCTGGTCCCATCACTTCACGGCAAATAGATGGGGAAACAATGGAAACTGTAACACACTTATTTTGGCAGGGCGGGGGGGGGGGGTTCCAAAAATCACTGCAGATGGTGACGGCAGCCATGAAATTAAAAGACGCTTGCTCCTTGGAAGAAAAGCTATGACCAACCTAGAAGGCATATTAAAAAGCAGAGACATTACTTTGTGACAAAGGTGTGTCTCATCAAAGCTATGGTTTTTCCACTAGTCATGTTTGAGGGTGAGAGTTGGACCATAAGGAAAGCTGAGCGCCGAAGAATTGATGCGTTTGAACTGTGGTGTTGGAGAAGACTCTTGAGAGTCCCTTGGACTGCAAGAAGATTAAACCAGTCAATCCTAAAGGAAATCAGTCCTGAATATTCATTGGAAGGACTGATGCTGAAGCTGAAACTCCAATACTTTGGAGTTTCACCTATTGTGAAGAACTGACTCATTGGAAAAGACCCTGATGCTGGGAAAGATTGAAGGCAGGAGGAAAAGGGGACGAACAGAGAATGAGATGGCTGGATGGCATCACCAGCTCCAGGAACATGAGTTTGAGCAAGCTCCAGGAGTTGGTGATGGACAGGGAAGCCTGGCATGCTGCAGTCCATGGGGTCACAAAGAGTCGGACATGACTGAGCGACTAAACTGAACTGAACTCTGCGGTTGGGCAAACTGGGTTTGAATCCTCTTTTGTCTGTTGCTGGCTTTGTGGCCTGGACAAGGAGCTTCATCTCCCTGAGCTTCAGGTCCCCTAAATGTGAAATGGGACTAACTATGGGCCTCTCCACCCAGGTGTGCTGTGAGGAAGTGGTGGGATAATGTGTGTAGGCCCCTGATAACATGGTTACAACAGTGATGTTGATGATTACAATTGTTGCTGGTTTCTGATCACCTCATTCCACTCTGCCTCCAGTTTCTCATCTGTTTATGACCCCACTGCACATGGTTATGGAGAGGCTCTAGTCGGTAGATTAAGCAGCCAATGTGCTTAATCAATTGCAACTGCATTTCTTATTTTTGTGTGCAGAAAAGACTAAATGAGGTTGAATGGGCTCGGATCTACAGGATACCTATGTTTACAAGTTCTGGCACCCTTGGGTGCTGATATATACCCCTTGGCACAGATGATTCCTCATTTTGTCTCAGTTTCCCTTTTGGGATCAAGTTAGGGAGTCTAATTGTGGTCTCAAGTAGCACTCTGATTGATTGTAGGGCCTGGATATAGCTTTAGCCAAGATGCCCTCACAGGAAGCTTCTGGGCCTGGAGGGAAGGATTGATTAGTGATGTCTGCCATAAGGTCAGGAGGAGAGAGTGGACACTCTGCATGTTTCCCAATGCAGGACCGGGTCATATCTAAGGTCCCTGCAACCAGTGACACCACGTGTTCATGGAGGTGTGACCCTGGGATATGCCTGGTGTTAGAGGAAGGAGAAGGAGACCCTGTCATGGGTTCCAGCCTTGGCTCTGTTAATAACCTGTTTTGTGACTCTGAGCAAGACATTTGTTTAATCCCAGGGTCTGTATGAGACTAAAATGAAGAGTAGCCTGGGTAGACCTACCAGCTGGAAAACATAGTCTCTTTGTTGGCAAAACATTGAGCAGTATCCCCACTTGCAAGGAGACAGCTCCTGAGCTGAGTGGCTGGCTGAGGAGGAATGAAAAGCTGTAGGGAGAGAAGGAATGATGTTCCAGGTGGTGGAACAGCTCAGAGAAAAGCTCAGCATTGGCCCAAGGGGGCTACTGCTCAAGGGAAGTCCTGAATCGTGCGCCCTCCATGTGGACTCGTGTGGGACTTGGGACTGTCACAAAATACAGGCTGAGAGGAAAACTCTCATCCCTTTGCTATGGCCAGCAGGGGAAGAACCAGAACTGGAGGAGACTGACTTCACATGAAATCTCGCTTTGTCTCTGACCAGCTGTGTGGCCCTGGAGACGTCACACCTACGCCAAGACCCATTCACTGCATCATTCAGTATAAATCATAATTGAGTGAGATACAGTGTATAAAGATTGAATATGGGATTTCTCAACACTGTTTGACAGTAATTTGAGTGTGTAGAGGCTGACATTCATATTGTGCTCACCAGTGTCAGACTGTGGTTAAGCATTTTCCACTCACTGACTCATTTAATCGTCACAGACTTGCAACAGGGAGGTTTTGCTGTTAACTCTACAGGGCAGGTGAGATAACTGTGGCTCTAGTAAGTTGCCTGAGATCACACAGCTGACAAAGGGCAGAGGCCAAGTGTAGCTCAGCTCTGACCAACCTCTCACCGCCCGCCTTGTCAACAGCCCTGGCAGGGCCTGAACTGAGGTCCTTTGGGAGAGCTCAGGAGAGCTGGTCCAAGGCCCCCAGCTGCCCCAGGGGCTCAAAAGCCTCCTAGATGACTTGGCTCTGTGAGGCAGCCTTCATCCGACAGAAGGCCCTGGAGTGAAGCAGCCGCTGGTGCAGGCCTCTGTGTGGCCCTGGTCTCGCCTAACCCGAGTCTCCCATGAGGACAACAGTGGTTCTTCCCTCACAGAATTGCACACATCACTGAGACGGCTCCTCAGCAAACAGGCAAAGCTTCCCTGGGCCTGTTGGCAGGAAAGTCAGATGCCCTCATGGAAAGGAGAGGCCCGGGGACCCTGAGGTGATAGCCTGGGTGATAGCTCTGCAGAGGTGATGCAGCTGTGAGTAAGGGGTCTCTGCTCCTCATCCCAAGGCAAAGGGGAAACTGAGGGGTTGCGTGTTGAGAAGACAGAGGGGCCACAAGAGGAACCCCATCAGTCCTGGGCTGAACAGACCGAGGCCAGGAGAGCAGGACCTACAGGGGCTGGGGAGAGGTGGCTAAGTATGGGAGCCAGGATGTCACCTCTCTGAGCAAGGGATCCCATAGCCATGGGTTTAAAGCTAGTCCCACCAGTTGCTATGCTGTAACCTTCATGAGTCACTTGTCCTCTTTGAGGTTCAGCTTCATAATCTGTCCAATGGGGAAAAGAGCAGGGTCTCCTGGCAGAAGGGTGCTGCAGGAAGTCATGAGGTCAGGTGTGCTGGTGAAGGCAACTCTCCAATATGGTGGTGGTGTTAGCAGAAGCAGAATGAGGCTGCCCCTTTGTGACCTCGAGTCGCTTTCTTGCCCAGCGTGGGCCTCAGTGTTCCCATTTGTAAGACAATAAAATGCAGCTGGATAATCCTGAAAGTCCCTTTCACCTTCAGATCCAGTTCTCCACTGCCCTGATTGCCCATACCTCAGCTGTCCTGAAATACCAATGGAAGGATGCAACAGACCACACAGGAGGTGCAGAAATGGCTTTTTATTGCTGGGGGTGGAGGGTGATCCGTACAGGATGTCCTGACTGTGGGGAGGAGTATCTGAGAAGTGTCCTTTGATTGGGCTCAGTTGTCCTTCCTGATGGATGGTGGCAGCACTGACTGTCCCAGAGGGAGACTGTGCATAGATTCAGTCAAGATTCAATCTGAAAGGAGACCCCAACATGAGACATGCACACCCCAGGGTCCTTACTGGCAATTGAGTTCACCAGGCACTGCTGCAGGAGTACTTTCCCCAAACCCTGCAGCTCTGAGGCTTGGGGAGGGACTGGCACCTGTGGTTTGGGGTCTTTCTCTGGCACCTGGCACTGACCCCTCCTCATCCCCTCACCCTCCCACCCCCTCACCTTAGCAACAATGACTGATGTGAAAAGACTGATCAGGGCCCAGAGGAGCCAGGGTTCAGGGCTCAGCGTATGATCAGGATCAGGGATCAGACTGAGATGCAGGTCAGATTCTAAATGTGACCAGTGTCAGGGCTCAGTCAACGACTGGAGTCAAAGCTCAGCCTGACTGTTCCAGGCTCAGTCAGGGAGCAGAATCAAGTGCCGTCTGGGTGTGTGATTAAGGGTCAGGACTCGGTCCACGACCAAGATCAGGGCTCAGTCTTCCACTAGAGAAAGGAGAGAAGCCAAGCTTGTTTCCGCTTCTCCACGGGCCCCTGTGGGGATCTCATCCTCCCTCAGCCCAGGGCCCGGAGCCCGGTCCTCACCAGCAGGCGGGCATCGCAGCAGTTTTCCTCATCTGTGCCTTTCACGGCTCCTGTTGGGCTTCCCAAAGTTCACCTGAAAGAAGAAATCAGTAGCAGTTTTCAGCCTCCAGCTCTGGAGAGCTGAATAGAAATCAGACACCAGTGGTTCCCAGCATCCAGACGGTCAGACTGACAGGCATGGGACCACTCACATGCCACTCCTTGTCTCTGAGCCTCAGTTAGATGACCTGCAAAATGGGCATGATGACACTGCCCACCCCCACAGGATTGTTGCAAGGGTCCAGTGAAGTGGTGAACAGGAAGCACAGAACGGTCACCCAAGAACTGGGCCTGTGGCTGTTTTCTAGAAGGACTGCTTTCAGGACCCTGATGCTGTCACTCACCACACTTCTGTTGCCCCACAGCCCCAGCAACCACAGTCATGCCGGAGACCCATGTCGAGGAAAGCCCCCAGGGGCTGGTGGTAAACCCATAGCTCCTCATAAGAGGGCAAAGGGAAGGGATGGTGTTTACCATCAATGCCTACTGGATATTAGGCTTTTTCTGCTTTTTCTTTAAATCCACTTATCAGCTCTTCCATGTTTGTTATATCCTTCCCCTGGGAGGAAACCGAGTCTCAGAGAGGTGGAGCCAGTTGACCCCCACCCCACAGTTGTTAAGTAGCAGATCCAGGATTTGAACCCAGATCTGGCCTGTCCTCTTTCTCACGTTATTCTCGGCAGCAGATTCTATCAGTTTGACAAAGGAGGGCAGCAGAAGCTCTCAGAGGCCCACAGAGGCCCTTAGTCTGCGGGGACCCTTCTATACACAGTCTCAAGACTTGCTCAGGACAAAGGGTCTCAGCTTCCAGGGCCCCCTGACCAGACCTGCTGGTGCTGTAGGCATAGAGTGGCCTGCTCCCCGCTGTGATGCTGCAAAGGGAGCCCCTTCGCCACTTTCCCAGGCTGTGACTTACCGATGAGGTTCTTAACATACTCCGCATTCAGGCTTTCAAGGAGGCTGCGGACTTCTGGGCACAGCTGAGGGTGACAAGGAGGGAAAGAGAGGCACACAGAGAGAGAAATGGAGACAGAGAAGGAAGGAAAGAGGTTGGGAGGTGAGGAGGGAGAGGAGAGATGGAGAAGGAAGAGGCCTGGTTATTACCCGCTGTGAGCACCCTGCCCCCACGCCACAGAGATGCTCAGTACTGAGGCCTGAGTACTTCCAACCCTTAGGACTCTAGAACCGTGGAAACCTAGAAGGCCCAAACTGAGATCCAGAGGACCCTAGAATCCTAAAACCTCAGAACATTAGAATCCTAGAACCTTAAAGAATCTAGACTTTGAATATTCCAGAACCCTATACCCTTAGAAGCCTTGACCTCTGGACTCTGAAACTTTATAGAGTTAAATAGGGCTCTGGGAACTATAGAGAAATGGTTTTGTGTTTTTCACAGTTTTGTGTGCCTACAATTCCCGGAAGATGTTGTTAAAAGGCAATTATTGAGCACCAGGTCTGGGGTAGGACCTAAGAGTCTGCGTCTCTAAACCAGTATCCATGGGAGGTCAGTGATGCTGGTCTGAGGAACACACTTTGAGCATGACTCAAGTTCAGTAAATCACAGAACAACATGGAGGATTTTTTAAAAATAAAGCCAGATTCCCAGCCCCCTTCCAGAGTGACTAACGTAGAATCTTTGGAATTTTGGGCACATGGTACTTATGGTATTTTTATATGAAACACATGAATCCAAACTATGGAATGTATAGTTTTTGTACTTAAATGAATTAAAGTTGTGTTGAATGAAAAAAAATATTATCTATAAGTACCGTTGGCAGTCCATAAGTATGGTAAATGGTTCAAGTGTGGGACCCAGTGATTTCAACTCATGTCGGGCCCCTGTTCACCTTCTCCTCAGGCCAGTCTGAGCGAAGAGGGGCAGGTAGCAATTCACAGCCCCAAGGGAAGCTGGCCCCCCAGAAAGAAAGGTGCTCAGAGAGTAGAATTTACCTAGGGAAAGTCACCCCCACCCCCGCCAGGCCTGGCTCTGCACCCCCAGGATTGGGGAACTCACCTCAGATTGTATTACGAGGGACACCACTTCATATGCAAGGTTGGCTGCGAAGTCCGCAACCTGACGGAGCACTCCAGTGTGCCTGGAGAAGAGAGGAAATTGATAAAGCTTCGTGAAGTTGGCTCAGCAGCCAAGCAGGAGAGTGGAAAGAGGGCGGAAGATGGTGAAGCACCTTGAAGTCAGGTGACTTGAGTCTCTACACAGGGCAATCATCAGTTAGAACCCCATGGTTGACCAGCAGCTCACATTTCTCAATAGCTCATGAGAGTCTCACCACAATCCTGAGAACTCATCTATCCATCCATTCGATTATCCATCCATCCACTCTTCTATCCATACATCTGTCCATTCTTCCATCAATCCATTCATCCATCCATCCATCTATGCATCCATCCATTCTTTCATCCATCCATTCATTCTTCTACCCATTCATTCATCTAGTCATCCATTCATTCATTTTTCAGCACATATTTAGAGAGCACTAACTATGTGCCTGGAACCAAACCTGTCTGGGGACATAGTGATGAACAAAGCCCAAGCAATTCCTAATGTGGCACCTAAATATTTGTTTGGCTTAAAAGTTCATTTGGAGTTTTCTGTAACAGGGTAATGAAAAACTCAAAAGACTTTTAATCCTGGGTGAACCCAGTATTAACACGTTATCGCAAGGCTGCCTCCTTCCCATCTTCAGCTCTCAGTGTAACTGTCACCTCCTCGGGGCAGCCCTCATGACTGATTGCCTATGGGAGGGCTTTGTGTCATAGCACTCTGTTAGGTGTGCTGTTCTGCCCAGGGATAACTGCAACCAACATTTTCCTTCTGGGGTTGTTACTGTTGGACTGAATGCTCTCCTGTCTGCCCTTCCCTCCAGAGACTAAACTCCACGAGAACAAGCTCCTTGCCCTCAGTCACCCGTAAATTCTCCAGAGCTCAGAGTGGCGGCTGCCTGGCATAGAGCAGATGCTCCACACATTTTTGAATGAAAGAAAAAATGAAGTAAACCTACAATTGAATACATAATGACAATTTGTGACTGGTTTTCTGAAGGGTGAGAGTAGAATCTTATGAGAGAAAGGAAAAGAAACCTTGTTTCAGGCCCTAAAGGAGCAGACATATATGGACAAAGATGCAGCAAAGTTGTAGTAGGTGCCTGAGCAGCTCATGTACAGGTCTTGAGTGGAAGGAGTTTGCCTGAGGCACAGAGTAAAAGTTAGCATCTCTGGGGCAGAGAGGGCAAGATGTGGGTCTAGGTCAGGTAGAGCCTAGATGGCCCTGGGAGGCCCTGGGAGGCCGTGGGACTCCACCCAAAGTGGAGAGAAAAACCCCTAGAGGGTTTAGGGCAGCAGAGTGGAATGCCATTTCACAGATATGGACACTGAGACCTGGAAGGCAGGATGGTTTCCCTGGGGCTTTGGGCAAGGCAGTGTCCAGCAGGGCTCAGGCATTTGGATTTACAGCTCGGTCTTCTAAGTGATGGTAGGCTGCAGAGCCTCTATTTGGTTATGGGGGGTCTTTAGTTAACCTGTGATCAGATCCCTTACTGAGGTAGGATGGACGGACCCTCCGCTCCTGGCTGAGCGTTTTTCCCTGGGAGAACAACCTGCCCCACCCTTCAGGTTCCAGACCACTTCTCCTCTCAGCCATGACAAGGATCAGACTTTCTCCTTCCACCCTCTTCCCTGGGGCTAAACATGCTCTTCCAAGCATACCGTTTAAGATACAGTGTTGGTGGTTACCAGAGATCAGTGATTTCAATGGAGAGGATTAAGTTTTCAAGATGTCATTTTGGGAATTTCTCAGTGGGTAGAGGATGATTTGGGGATAGTCTGAAGTTAGAGCTCATGGTAGGCATTTACTACTTCTCTTGTCCCTCCCTACTAGAGGAAAGAAGGGAAACACAGTGAATTACTATTATTATTACTATTACTGAGGGACATTATGTAATATGAGAAGGGTCAGTTCTTCAAGTAGACATAACAATGTTAAATGTGCAGGCATCTAACAACAGAGCTTCAAAAAGCATGAAGCAAAAACAGACAAAGTTGAAAGGTGAAATATAGAAATGCCCAGTTATGGTTGGTGAGGTCAGCATTTCTGTCTCAGTAAGGGGAAGAACCAAGAGACAGAAAGTCAGCATAGGTATTATCATTACTGAGAGCTTAGTATGTGCCAGGCTGTATGCTAAACACTCACAGTTTCTCATTTGGCCAACAGAGGAGGCTATGAGTTAGGTATTATTACCATCCTCAGTTTACAGATGTGAAAACTAAAGCCTCTAGAGGCTAAATTGATACCAAAACCACAAGTTAGTGGCAAAGCTAACTTGACTCCAGAGTCTGACCTCTTCTTTACCAAACTCTGCTCCCTCCCAGGTAAGGATTAGGGCTGAAATTTTGGGTCCCAACTCCTCGAAGATCCCCTCTCTGCTGAGATGTGTGGACCTGACCTGCCCAGCACGGTGAGTTCGATGCTGTGTTGATCATTCTTGCATTCTGCCACGACCACATGGGAGACACCAGTCTCTTCATCGGTTTCAACGCTGACACTAAACCGGAGGACCAACTTGAGGTCCAAGTCGACAATCTCACCCAACACAGGCCTGCAGGAAAATAGATTCATAGTGAGCAGAGATGGAGAAGTCCCTTCACATTGCCCACTTTAGTTTCTTTCTTGTGTGGACATTATATGAGATGTCTATAGACAAGGACAGGGAAGCCTCGCGTGCTGCAGTCCTTGGGGTCTCAAAGATTTGGACGGGACTTAGTGACTGAACAACAAATGGACAATGACAACATAGTCTGTATTCTTTATGGAATCTACATTCTTACGTTAGGTTTTGTTCTCCTGGCCAGAGTGTTTGGTTTATGCGAAATTTAGGTAGACTATCACACTGATGATTAAAATTAAAAAAAAAAAGATTTAGCATTTCTTTAGCAAAATACTATGTTAGGTATTTCCAAAAAAGTACTCTCCTTGGATTAATCCATTTAATCTCGACTGCAATTCCATGAGAAAGACACTATCATTATCTTTGTTTTCAGAATGAGGAAATGCAGTATAGAGAAGTTTACTATCTATCTCAAGATCTCATAACTAATGAATGGTGAAGTCATAGTGCACTTTAATTTATAAGACTCTTCTATGTATCTTCATTTTCCTATCTGTTTGTATCTTCAAAGTAATTAAAATACTTAGAAATTATATTTTGCCTATAATTTCCACATGCCTTTCATTATATACTGTCCACTGGGATAATGGCCCATAATGGTCACTGCTTTTAAAGAGAATCTTGGGAGACAAAATGATGCTGGAGGAAACTTTGCCAAAGTGTTATGCATTCATGTCTTCTCAACTCTCAAATTTATAATGAGATAAGTGCCTGGTTCCAGATTAGAGACCTACAGGCCATAGATTACTGCATCTCCCAAACCTTGGATTCTAAGCCATACTCACAGTTTCACATTGATATGAGCAGTGATGGGGATTTTCACTTCAGCACTGCTGTCAGAAGTCGCTTCTAATGTGAGATCCAGGATGTGAAGATCACTGATTTTCACCCTGTGCAAAAACCACAATTCACCCTGTCATTCCTCCTGACAGCCATTGCTGGGCTCTTCTCTCTGCTAGCATTGTGCTGAGCATTTGAGCCTCATGGACCTTGCCTGCTTTGGTCCTCATGAGAGCCGTGCTCAGGGGTTGGATTCTCTCCATTGGATGGCATGGCAGACTGAAGATCAGACAGCTGTGATTTCCCTCAAGACTCCAAGGGTGAATATGTGCCAGAGCCAGGTTCTTTTTTTTTTTTTTTTTAATATCTAGTTGCTTTACAATGTTGTGTTAGGTTCAGGTGTGGGACTCCCATGATGGGTCAGAGGTTAAAGAATCTGCTTGCAATGCAGGAGACCCGGGTTCAATCCCTGGGATGGGAAGATCCTGTGGAGAAGGAAATGGCAACCCACTCCAGGATTCTTGCCTAGAGAATTCATGGACAGAGAGACCTGGTGGGCTAAAATCCGTGGGGTCGCAATGAGTCAGACACAACTGAACGACTAACACTTTCACTTTTCATTAGTTTCATTCACATTCATCACTTTCACTTTCATTATGTTAAGAAAATGTACAGAAAAATGATTCAGATAGATAGATACAGAGGTATTTTCCCTTATAGGTTATCACAAAATATTGAGTATAGTTCCCTGTGCTATATAGTGGGTCCTTGCTTGTTGTCTATTGTATATATAGTAGTGTGTATATATTTATGCCAAACTCATAATTTATCCTCCACACTGCTTTCCATTTTTGTAATCATGACTTTTTTTTTTTTATGTTCTAAGAGTCTGATTTGTATAAGTTCTTTTGTCTCATGTTTTGGTTTCCATATATTAGTGGTATCTGTGATATATGTGATATATGTCATTCTCTCTCTGACTTAACTTCATTTAGTATGATTATCTCTACATCCATCCATTTGTTGCTTTAAGTGTCATTATTTCATTCCTTTTTAATGCAGAGCCAGAATTAGAACCCAGAACTGCTTGACTTGGCCCAGCCTTCATGTGTGGGGTCACCTATGTGGTGTGAATTCTAGATTCCTCTCTCCTGAGACCATTCAGACTTTTATACTCAGCTATATTCAGAGAAGAAATGTCTTATTCCTTGAGAATGAAACTTTAGGCAGCATCAAACAGGTAGAGGTGGGGGTGAAGAAGAACTTCATCCTGACCCTGAAATCACAGAAGGAGAACGCTCAAACTCATGAGATCCAAATGGACCCCACAGACTTGACTCTAATTTTCCCACACTCTGGTAGAATTGGCCTCAGACCACTTCTGCTCTGCAAAACAGGGGATCTTCCCAACCCAGGGATTAAACCCAGGTCTCCCACATTGCAGGCAGATTCTTTACCAGCTGAGCCACCAGGGAAGCCCAGGAATGCTGGAGTGGGTGGCCTGTCCCTTCTCCAGTGGATCTTACCCACCCAGGGATCGAACTAGGGTTTCCTGCATTGCAGGCAGATTCTTAACCAGCTGAGGCACCAAGGAACCCCTCTGGAAGAACATGCAAAGTTTATTCAACTTTTTGCCTTTGATATTAAACTTATGTCCCCAAAGAGATGTATTCTCTTTCCTGGGAACAAATATCTCCAAATGAAGCAACAACTCACCCTGTAAGTCTGTACACTACTTGAAAAATTCCAGAAATGAGTTCTTCCAGTAAGTTCTTAGTTTCCTCGGGATCATCCTGGGCTTCCTCAGTATTGGATTCCTGGGGCAGTGTGAAATCAGTCTTCAATTGCTGAAAAATAGCTGCAAAAACAGTCTCCATTTAGTGTGTTTTACAAGATCCCAGGCACCAGGTACTAAATGAGAATATTTGCCTGTGTTACATCATTTAATCCTTACAACAACTCCACAGAGGCGGTATTACTAATATCTGCACTTTCAGATGAGGAAATAAAAGATCAAAAGTTTAAGAAATGGATCAAGTCACACAGCTCAGAGACCTTGTTCTTTCCACACCTCCTTCACTCTAATATATACTCATCATTCATCAACAGAGCAATCAACCCACTGAACAGGCAATAAATATTGATTCCACATTAACTTCTAGTAGTGAAGCACTAATGAGCTGCTCCTCCAAACAAAGAAAACTTAGAATAGAATAAGAAATGGAAAATCTAGAGTCAGAGAAAATATATGGATCTAAATCATGAAAGTGGCAAATAGGAGTCCCCGAATGACAGCTTTGCATATGGCCTAGAAAGAGGTGACTCATACAGGAGAGCAAGGACAGAGAGCCCTAATGGACAGAGAATAGAGGGATTCGAGAGAGGAAGTGACTTGGCAGATGTAGAATGGCACATTTGAAAAATATTAAGAAAATCTCTAGAAAATAATTCAAATGAGATAAAACAGGAAAGAACTAGTTCAAAGAGTAGGAAAAAGCTCAAAAAATGTATGTAATCAGTGTACTGCAATGTGACTTGGTGATGGACAGTACCTAGTTATAATGATGCAGTGATGGAAACTACATCTGGTCCTACATCTTAGTAGCTGACTTTGATGTCGGCACTTCTGCTTCTGAGCTCAGTTTTATCAGCAGTAAAAATGGAAATTGGGTCCCTCCCGTATCTTTCAGGTTGCCAGGATTTCTTGGTGGCTCAGATGGTAAAGAATCTGCTTCCAGTGCAGGAGACCTGTGTTTAGTCCCTGGGTCGCAAGGATCCCCTGGAGAAGGAAATGGCCACCCACTCCACTATTCTTGCCTGGAGAATTCCATGGACAGAAGAGCCTGTCAGGATACAGTCCACAGGGTCAAAAAGAGTTGGACACGACTGAGCGACTATCACTCAGTCACTCTCAAGCCCTGGCAAGTTTTGAAAGAGAGTCATTTTCAGAAGTTAGTTTCTCCTATAAAGAATGTTTAGCAATGTGCTTCCAAAAAGTGAAAAGAAGACCAAGTTCTTTCAAGAAATCAGAATTACAAGGAAATACGATTCACTAGAAAGGTAGGTAATTTTTTTTTTCATTTATTTTTATTAGTTGGAGGCTAATTACTTTACATCATTGCAGTGGGTTTTGTCATACATTGAAATGAATTAGCCACGGATTTACATGTATTCCCCATCCCGGTCCCCCCTCCCACCTCCCTCTCCACCCGATCCCTCTGGGTCTTCCCAGTGCACCAGGCCCGAGCACTTGTCTCATGCACCCAACCTGGGCTGGTGATCTGTTTCAGAAAGGTAGGTAATTTTAAAGCTACCTAGGCTAGGTAGGAATCCTTTTGCAATTAGTTAATACAAATTACTAAGAAAATTGAATGACCCAACAGAAGAATATGCTACAAATATAAATTAAATATTTAAGTTTCAGTACATAAATGGCTAATAAAATATGAAGAATGAGTGAATTCCCTCATAATTAGAGAAATGAAGAGATCATTTAGAACCTTTCATCTGTGAGACTGGCAAATTTCAGTTGTCCAAACTAGTGCTGTCAAGAGAGTAGGAAAAAAGATACTCTCACGGATGGTTGGAGAAACTATTAACGTAGGGAATTATTTGTCAATACCTGCTGCAATTTAAAATATGCATACCTTTTGAACTTTTGAAATGTCACTTTGAGGATCTTATCCAATAAATATATTAGCAAATTTTATGATGAGATAAGATGTTAATTGATATTCAGTTAAGAAATACCTGTTTCTAGAAAAATCATAAACAAATGAACCAGGAACCAGTTAGTTACCTTAGTAAACCACCCGTAAGGAGCAACCCCTGCTGGCTGCCTTTGCTAATACAGACATAGTATGTAGGAAGCAAGCACCTAGGTGCCACTGATCACCCCTGTTGTTGACTCACTTCCAAGTGTACTGTCAAGGTTTTCAAGTCCTTCCTCAAGACCAGATTTCAGCTTCCTCAGAACATCCTTGCCGATATTGTCAAGAAGAGATGCTGAGGTCCCGGCAAGCAGGCCACACAAGAGAACAAGTTTCCAAAGCTGAAACATCTTGTCCTGACACCTGGACAGTCATGGGAGGAACAGGAGTGAGAATTATCTATAGGGAAATGGGATCTTGGATGAGCACCTGTCACTCTTACACTCAACAGACCTTGAAGATAGACGTGGTTATCTCGTCTCTTATAGATGGGCAACCTAGGTCAAAAAGCCAGAGAAACTTACTTGCCCAGAGACAAACAACCAGTGAATGAAGGCACTACTATGTGATAAGTCACGCTTGACTCCAGGTCAATTCTCTTTACTAGAGGTCCTTTGCACATGCTGGTTCCTCTGCTTGGAACACTTCCCTCTTCTTTTCATTTAAAACTGAATCATTTCTTACTGACTTTCCAGCTTCAGTAGGACATCATGTCCTCTAGATCTCTCCCCAGAGCCTAGGTTATTAGGCCCCTCTCCACCTTCTTGCTGCCTTCATTCACTGTTCAGAGTCCTGGGTAAAAATTAGTGATGACTTGACTGCCTTTCCCACCCGGCTGTGATTTCCTTGGGGGAGGGATTGTGACTTATTTCATGGTTTAATTCCCAACTCATAGTAAAAAACCTACACCTAGTACAGTGTTAGTATTAGTCACTCAGTTGTGTCTGAGTCTTTGTGACCCCATGGACAATGCCTGCCAGTCTCTCTGTCCACAGGATTCTCCAGGCAAGAATACTGGAATGGGTTGCTGTGCCCTCCTCCAGGGGAACTTCCGGACCTAGGGATTGAACCCATGTCTCTTATGTCCCCAGGATTGTCAGGCCGGTTCTTTACCAAACACTTAGTACAGTACAACAAAAAAATGTTCGAGGAATAAAAGTATGAACATATAAGTGGGCGCCACATCATGACACTACATTCATCCATTTGACACTTCTGCTTACTGAATCTATTCCTTAATTTTCTCTATTCAAGATGTCAGTTAATTCAAAGGTCCTGTTCCCTGCCTTTCCCCCCATAGTGTTCTGAAGGGATTCCTGCTGGCTCAGATGGTAAAGACTGCAATGCAGGAGATCTGGATTCGATCCCTGGCTCAGGAGATCCCCTGGAGAAGGAAATGGCAAACTGCTCCAGGATTCTTGTCTGGAGAAATCCATGGACAGAGGAGCTTGGTGAGCTACAGGCCATGGGGTTGCAAAGAGTCAAACACGACTGAGTGACTAATACCTTCACTTTCACCCCTATGCCTCTTGTCCCCAAAACATTCTGTAGGCCTCCATGTGGACTGACATTAAGAGGGAAACCCACCAGTCGCAGGTTTGAAGAAATATACTTACAAAATCCTTGCTCCTCTGCAGAGTCTTCTGGAATTATGCTGGGTGGTGATGGCCCGTAACTTATATTGATGGCGATGGGGTGGGAGGCTGCCCCCGGAAACAAGCTCTGTGTCCAGAGCCATCCAAGGAGACTCCAATGAAAATAAGCCCTGTCCAGAGTGAACAGAAAGACTTCCAAAGCAAAGGTCAGCCAGGATGCTTGAATTGGATGGCTATAGAGAGGACTTTGTGCCAAGACTAAGAGCAGGTTCTCATGGAGCCTCCAGATACCAAGATGGTGGCCATGCAGGTAGGGGGCAGAGGTAAAAACTGAGATGAATTGGAGAATATTCTGGTGACAGTGATCATAGTGATCATCCAGCTTAATTTTATCAGCACTTGGAAGCTCAGACTGAGAGAGGGAAAGCAGCCAGCCTGAAGGAGAGGGATAGAGATGGGGCTAGACTTGTGGCCCAGAGCATCAGGGTCAGTGACCAGTGAGGTCATTCTTCCCAAACATTCTCGTGTGTCTGAGCACTCTCCATAACATCCCTCACAGTGGAAGCAATCTAAGGACAAATATTTGCAATGACAGGTTGCTCAGGACCCACCTCCCCATCTGCCCACTCCACTTAGTCAGTAGGGTTTCTCCTGAGAGTGAATATCGTCTCCCTCCGTATATATCCAGTATATGCAGTATCCCTCTGCACATTTGCCCCCAACCCCTCTACTCTCAGTGCAGCTGCCAGAAGGTAAACCTCTCACTTTAAACCAAAGTCCCAACATGGCCCTTTGTCATCTACTCACTATCACCCCAAACTCACCTACCTCTCTCTCCATGGCCCTACTGTCTTCCTTCTTTTCCAGTAAAATATCAAATTCATTGCTGCCTTGGCCCTCTGCACAGACCATTCCCTCTTTATAAAGATCTGCTCTTGGGAGGGGGTTTCAGGATGGGGAACACATGTACACCCTGGGCTGATTCATGTCAATGTACGGCAAAAACCACTATAATATTGTAAAGTAATTAGCCTTTGATTAAAATAAATTAGCTCATTTTTAAAATATCTGCTCTGGGAGCCAGTGTAAGTTGACTCCTGACATTCAAATTCACAGTAAGTCCTGACTTCACAAATTTTTAGCGCCTCTCTTTGGATGACAACTTCAGGTTCAAATAACCACATTGCAAACATAACCGACATCAAAGCCACAGGAGAGTTTAGAGTTCAACTTAACCTCCTTGCTGGGAAGACTGGGGAGCCTATGGTCCTCAGAAGGAGAAGGACGCATTCAAAGCTACTCGTGAAATGAACCCAACTTATTTTCCTCTTCCATTTCATATCTTTTCAGTTTGTTGAAATTTTCTGCTTGGGAAATAGCTTTTTAAAGAAAGAGATTAAATAAAACCATCTAATAAATTTGTTTAAACTGTGGATGCCTGACCTCCACACTATTTACTTAGGGTCAGGGGCTCCAGGCTGGCTGGACAGAAGTGGAGTTATCTGGACAAGGGTGGCTCAAAAGTACTTTTGACCTTGAGTTCTAAGATCTCTGATCCCAACACCATCCTCTGGACCCCACCTCTGCCTAGACATGACCATGCAACACTAGGTGCTTATCCTGCTTCATTTTGTTTCACCTCATCAGCAGCCAGGCAGGGGTGTTACTGCACTCATTTCTTGACTGAGGGGCATGAGGCTCACAGGGGAGGATGACTTTCTCAAGGCCACGCAGTTTGAAAAGGGCCAGAGCTGAGAGTGAACCCAGTTCTGCATCCTCTCCCATGGCGATTGGCTATTCCCACTCTCAGCCTCTGGGGCAGCAACAAGTCGCACTCTTTGGCCCCAGTGTCCAGAACCCTATAGGTCCAGGCCAGTGTCCAGCCCTGGGCTTGACACTGCGGGCCTACTTTCACCCTTGGCGCTCATGACAACCCCTGAGAAGGTTTGGAAAACCCCATTTTCCAGTTGAGGAAACTGAGATTTAGGGAAGAGAGTTGACTGGCCCAGGCTCACAAGGACAAGAATCTAGCGTTTGTGTGCTTAGGGAAGGACCCTTCACTGAGATCACATCGAGGCCAGCTGGTCAGTCAGGAGAGTCCTTAGGTTTGAATACCCTGCTTATTTCTTGACCTCTGCTGTTTGGGTTGCTTGTAATGCCTGGTGCATTGGGCGTTTGTCAACTGGGAACACCCGTTCCAGGAAGCACAGATGGGTGCCCATGTGGCAATAGGCTGGTAGCACCAGATAGAGAGCTCAGGTCAACCGCAACTTGCAGGGACCTGTAACCCTGTCCTTGGCGTGAATGCAGGCAGGACTGAGTAGTTGTAAAGCCAGAGGTTTGGAGAGCTGGTGTTCCCTATACTGATTCTGGTCCGTCATCAGAGCACAGGGAAAATGCCCAATCTTGGGGAGGGAACATGGAAGACTCCATCCAGCAGAGCCTTGGACTGGTCAGCAGACTCACCTCACAGGCGGTCAGCACCCAGTTCTGCAAACATCTGAAGCCCCTCCTCCCCTGGTTGTGGGCACAGAGCTGAGGGTTGTGCAAAAATCTTGTGCAGAGAAATGTCCCAACTCAAGAATACAGGGACTGAGTGTGACATAGTGACCTCAGACCTGGTGTTGGCCCCAAAGCTTCAGCCTCCTCATTGTAAAATGGTGAGACAACTCCATGCCAATTGGCAAAATGGAAATTGCAATACCCCAACTCTGGGGTGACAATATACAGCCTTGACATACTCCTTTCCAGTTTGGAACCTATCTGTTGCTCCATGTCTGGTTCTAACTGTTGCTTCTTGTCCTGCATACAGATTTCTCAGGAGGCAGGTAAAGTTGTCAGGTATTCCTATCTCTTTAAGAATTTTTCACATCTTGTGATTCTCACAGTCAAAGGCTTTGGCGTAATCAATAAAGCAGAAGTAGATGTTTTTCCGGATCTCTCTTGCTTTCTTAATGATCCAAAGAATGTTGGCACTTTGATCCAGTCTGGTTCCTCTGTCTTTTCTAAATCCAGCTTGAACATCTGGAAGTTTATGGTATACATACTGTTGAAGCCTCTCGGAGAATTTTGAGCATTGCTTCGCTAGCGTGTGAGATGAGTGCAATTGTGCAGCAGTTTGAACATTCTTTCTCATTGCCTTTCTTTGGGATTGGAATGAAAACTGATCTTTTCCAATCCTGGGGTCGCTGCTGAGTTTTCCAAATTTGCTGGCATATTGAGTGCAGCACTTTCATAGCATCATCTTAGGATATGAAATAACTCAACTTGAATTCCATCACTTCCACTAGCTTTATTTGTAGTGATGCTTCCTAAGGCCCACTTGACTTCACATTCCAGGATGTCTGGCTCTAGATGAGTGATCACACCATCGTGGTTGTCTGGGTCATGAAGGTTTTTTTAATATAGTTTTCTGAGTATTCTTGCCACCTCTTCTTAATATCTTCTGCTTCTGTTAGTTCCATACCATATCTGTACTTTATTGTGCCCATCATTGCATGAAAAGTTCCCCTGGTATCTCTAATTTTCTCAAAGAGCTCTCTAGTCTTTCCCATCCTATTGATTTCCTCTATTTCTTTGCACTGATCTCTAAAGATGGCTTTGTCACCTCTCCATGCTATTCTTTGGAACTCTGCATTCAGATGAGTGTATCTTTCCTTTTCTCCTTTGCCTTTAGCTTCCCTTCTTTTCTCAGCTATTTGTAAGTCCTCCTCAGACAACCAGTCTGCCTTTTTGCATTTTTTTTCCCTTGGGGATGGTCTTGATCAC